CACACACACACACACACACACACACACACACACACACATTTCATATTCTTTCTCTGCTTGTTACTTCTGTCTAATTTTGAAACCTGTAAAACATTATTGTTGCTTCAAAGCAGTTCTTAGCTGGGTTAGAAAACCGTTTTTTAATCACCCACATCAGGTTTCCTAATTCCTCACCTGAGCTGTCTCCATCCTCAGAGACAGAGGAGGTGTCAGAGTCCTCCTCCTCTGTGCTGGACGCCTCCTGCTCCTGCTCCTCCACCTCCATCTCTTCTGCTGTACTCTCCTTCTTCTCCCGGTCACGGTGCACCGGCATGGCAGCTACTCTCTACAGACTGGGAGTGTTAGATTACTAGACAACAACAATCTCCTTTGACAGCTGTACTTACAACACAAAGGTTTGGACTTGTTATTTGATTCCAATTCAGGCTTACGGACGATAAATGACTAATAGATCTCTAAGCACTTGTGATTCTTCGTTGCAGTGTGTAATTTATCAGCTTATTATTACTGATGTTTTCTTATCGGCAGGAGGCATTATCATAACAGAGTGTAACAGTTGTAAAGACAGCATAGTCATCTTACACTCGAGAGACATGAAGTAATGAAAGAAATGATAAGATTAAGAGTTTGCACATTAAAAATGAATGACAATTTGGTCGCAACTATTGTTCCAATTGTGTTATTATTATTATTATTATTGTGGCTCTAACGCTACTACAACAGAAAGGATAAGATGTATAGATAATGAATGGATGGATTCATTGTTATTACTGATCTAATATTTTGGATTCTTTCACATTTCATAACATTATAACATCATTTGATTGTGACACATACCTTTTGGTAAATTCTGAAATCTAGTATTAAATAATGTTACGTCAATAAGATCCCTGGAAACAATGGAGCCCTATTGGTAGAAAGGTTTACTGTATATTATTGCTCGAAGATAATTTGATTAAAAGTTACTGATGCATAGCAATTTAAACTCACTAGAGATCGTAGCTGTTTGGTTTATTGGTTATTTTTACACATGTACAGAGGAAATAAACATACACAAACGTCAACACGTCAAGTTAGCATTGCGTTAGCATGTCTGTAACTCACAGCAGTTAGGTAGCAAGCGAGACAGAAACGATTTGATTAAAAAAACATAAACGATGAAGCCTGAGGATAAAATCATAACTCACAGTGTGTGGAAGACCTGGAGGTGTGTGAGAGCGTTCAAGTCCAAACTAATCTAAGAACAATTTGGCTTGGTCGTGTTTTTCCCTCGGTTACTGCTCCACTCGTGTCCGTGCTAAGCTAAAAACAAATCACAGTGCGAAGCTCTCATTTGTAAAGGGAACTGTAGTTTTCTGTGTCGCTGATATCCATAACAGTAGCGGTCTTACGTCCCACCCGTGGACTACACTACCCAGAAACCACCGCTGTAGCTCGAGACAGAGTAATCGAGAGGTGCTAAAAACTCCCAACGGCAGTAAAACCGTAAAAGCCGTTTGTTTCAGAGGTTTCATTCATTATTACCCCACACGCTCGTGATCTGTCTCGAACTACACACAGTTTGAATATTGTTGAACGACATCAACGTTGAATTTCTCTGCTATCCATTATTTCGTTTTCCCTCCCCCGCCATGATGTTTTCTAAGTGAACAGCAGAGCTAGCTAACTAGCCAGGTTAGCCTTCAGGCTGTTGTGGAAGAAGGGAGGTGCAATGGATGGATGCTTCGCCCCGCTACGTTTCACGTATTTTGTCGTAGTTTAAACAGAATGCGTCCTCTCCGGCACACCCGCGTGTTGATCGTTAAACCCCGCGGCGTTGCGGGGGACTGCTAACCTCTCGGCGCAGTGTTAATACATGACCCGGGAGTGTCGGCGTTTGGTGGTAGTTTGAAGATTAACGCTAGCTGGGGCTGTGGAAGCGGCTACACGCACAGCTAGCTCCTCCTCGCTGTCTACCATCGCATTCTTGTGTCTGCCGCTTCAGGAATGTTCTCCAAAAAGCCTCATGGCGACGTTAAAAAATCTACACAGAAAGTGTTGGACCCGAAGAAGGATGTGTTGACGAGGCTGAAACATCTGAGGATCGTCATAGGTGAGTTAAATCCCCTCAGCATGCGGATACACCTCCACTGTACGTGCCAGCCTGGGCAGGCAGGGCACGCCACACCAGACTCCCCCAGAAAATGACCACAGTGGAAGTTGCCTCGCATGTAAACAAACGCGCATGTTGTTAATAACAAGCCCACAGACGATTTTCATATATTCTAGCGTCCACTTATCAATCGGGACTCTACCTGTGGTCAGTGACGAATCATTTCATCTCGTGTACCTTTAAGACATTTGTTAATGTTTATAATGGTTGAATGAGCATGGTGTAGTGATGACTGATTACGAGTGAGACATGCTCTGTTAGAAGATGGTTTGAATACGTGTAAGTGACAGGTGTCAGGTATTCTGAATGGAATTTGGCTTGGCATCTCTGCATAATGAATTGTCTGGGGGGAAGTTTTTGCTGCCCTAGTGGGAACATGTGTGTCTGACAGCATTATATTGAGACACAGCGGTGGATGCAACACACTGTTGTAGTCAGGCTGTTGTGATTTCTCCAGGGGTGTGCCTGCAGCAGGGCCTGAGTGCTGCTGCAAAAAGACCTTGGCAAATAGACTCTGTTTGCTAGTTGTGTTACAGCACAGCACGGTGTGGAAAGAACAGGGGAAATGACAAGGTAATGCGTATGAATGAGTGACAGATGTTTGAGTCCCTGTGTGTGTCTTTCACTGACAAACATTAGCTCTCTCACACATGTAAACATTCACAGGCAAAAACACACACTGACCTGAGAGGGAAAACGAGCTCAATGATTTCCTTTCTCTGTCCAGTACAGTAGCCCAGCTTCCTGTTTCTATTGTGTGAGCTACTAGTGTGTGTGTGTGTGTGTGTGTGTGTGTGTGTGAGTGTGAGAAATGGGGTGTGCCCCCTCTTTGTACTCCATGGGGAACACAAGACCTTGATAAAAATCCCTGACTTGCAAGCTCAAACACACTTGCAGTGACATTGTTTGAAAATGAATACTCCCATGTTTTAATGATGGTGCCAGGCCAGCACTTGAATCAGATGCATGTGGGCATGTGAATGTAGCACTGATGTGAAAGTATGGCCCAGTGCCATTTTAGAGAGCAAGCACACTACTCGTCTGTGTTGTTGTACATTGTTTATGTAGCCATCATTCCCAGTTGTCCAGTTTTCTTTACTCTTAAACAGGTTCCCCCACAAAAATATGTTTACCTTTGCATTAATGGAAACAGAGTGAGGACTTTGCAGGGTCTCCAGGGGTTTTTAAATGTCTACAATCTCATAATCAGAATTTGGGGCCTTAGATTAGTTAAAATATTACATATAAGGTCTTATATACATTTGGCTAGGTCTTAGTTAATGCTAATTCTGTAACACTTTAAACTTGAAAGAAAAATGTTTTGGCGGCATGCGATGTTTATAGTGTTGTAGTTCTTCCTCAGCAGTATTATATGTTAGCACACTAATAAAACTACATACAAGGCCTCCAGAGAACTGAAAGCTGGTAATCTATAAACACCCTGGTCAGAATGTATGTCAGTACAATCCGTTTGGCTGCGGTAAAGACTATAGATACCTACTTTTGTTGTCTGTAGTTTGAGAGATAACTTTGCAAGTCAACTTCCTCTTATCTTCAATTATGGGGAAGAGGAAGTAATTGCAGGACTGTACTTCCATATCTGTTGTACATGACATCGGTCTTTATTTTCATTCATCATTACATACATTTAACTTGAAACCTGTAGAAACCTTGATTTAGGTTGTCTGCTAATTTTCTCTATTTGATCAGTCCATACTTGATCTGAAAGGATGATTCAACAAGACGCAATTTCACTGCTCTGTAATCCACTTGATCCTATCAGGTTTTTAAGGTACTGCTCCTCAAACTAATTCCTTGAGGAAACTTGTTTTCACATAAAAGTTAGCAAAGCCTTTCCTTTGCAAACAAAAAACAAACCATTATGGAAACCTCAGAGCAAAGGAGGTTATTTTATAAATTGCGGGTTCACACTTATTGGCTGTAACGTATAGCAGTAGGCAAATATCCAATCCTGTGCAAAAGACATGAAACAATGGCACACATTTTTTGATTTATTAGTTAACTTAATTCAAAGTACTCTTAACAGAAAAAAAGCCTCAAGAAAGTCAGTGTTCGTGTCACCTCCCTCTACCTTTCAAACAGCACCACTTCTTTTTGCTGCACTTGTGAACATTTTATCAAAAACCTTGGCAGGAAGGCTGCTCCAGACGTCTTGGAGAACTTGCCACACTTCCTCTGTGGATTTAGGTTCTGACAGTTACATCTTTCTCTTCAGGTAATACTACACCAATAGTCTACACAACCGAAGTGACTAAAACAACGGAACAGTATTGTTTCATTGAACATGTGACGGTTTAACTTGGTGTTTGGTGCTGGTACATTACAATGTTTTGTCAGGCATGTAAGGAGTGGGTCATTGTTTCTTATCGGAGTTGTAGAAAAATAACGATTGTTCAAGAGATGAAAAGTGTCGACAAATGTTTTGTTAAAATGTCCCCCAGAAGAAGAGACTGAACCGCCTGGCCACTGACACCTTACAAGGGCAACCACTATGGCTCTCTGTGTGTGTGTGTGTGTGTGTGCGTGTGTGTGTGTGTTTTCCTCGGTGTGTAGCCTAATGTACTACATGCTTGTGGGTGGTTATTTTTCCTCTAGTTTTGACCCTGAATTATTGCGGTGGTTTAAACATGTGTTTTATCTCAGTGTGTGAGTCAGTGTGTCTCCTTCCTAATGTCAGCCAGTGGCGTTGAGGCAGAGATTCAGTCCAGAAAGCACAGGAAGTTAGAAGGTAAACGTCCGACCCTTCAGAAGAGAGTACATCTATGATTGTAAGTCTTTTCTGCTCGATGGGTCACTTGCATATTTAAAGAACCCAGAGGCTGCTGTGAGGTGACTTTACTCAAATGTAATGTCTTGACAACATTTAAAATTGGAAATCTAAAAACATTTCTCCTACAAATGAATAGAGAAGTAATGACAAGGTATTGAGTTGGAACTTGTGTCCCTTCTCTTTGTCGTATTGTATTCACTTTTTGTCTCTCTAACTGCATACAAATATGTGAGTGGAGGAAAGACACACCTGATTGTCAGGCTGAGCACATTTGATGTTGTGTATGTAGTGGTGTGGTGGATATGTCTACATTTTATCAGCAATTGAGGTGATGGATAAACCTGAGGACAGCCTTGGAATCAGATCAGTTTTGTTGTGCTATGAAAACTTCCGGACAATGTAACCATTGTGTTCCTCTCCAGTCGGTGTGTTCTTGTTAATGCTTTATCTTCATTCTCATTTTCCAGAAAACGCAGAGCCTGCAGAGCTGAAACAGTTCTTTGACGTGAACTACTCCCATATCTACTATGTCTTCTTTGAAAACTTTGTTACCATTGAGGTCAGCCTCAAGCAAAAAGGTAAGGGTATAACAAACAAAGCCTAACAGGGTGGGCATGTCAACATGTCATGGCTAATAGAGCTAAATTATTAGGCTTTCCTCCAGCTGATATACATATTATGTTCTTATTACCATCACTGATCTTAATGACATTTGGTTGATTTCATCACATGAGAAACCAATAGAACCCAAATTTGTTGTGTTCTGGATCCTAACTAATGGCAAATACATTTTTAGCTGAGACTCTGTGACTTTGACTGGTCATACTCACGTTCTCATGTGATTTCAAAGCTCTTCTTCAGCTCTGTATTTAACAGTACCATCTGTTGCTGCAATTGTGCTCCTGAACTTAACAATATGTAACAGCGTTATAAGTGATTTTATTAGTTAAAGTTGAAAAAAAACCATTCTAGAATTGGTCAGAAGTTATGTTATATTGTATGCTGTACAATTGTAAATATTACAGAATGTACAATACAATATACAAAAAATATTAATTATTGCACAAATACATATTCAGCAATACCAAAAGAAGGCTGTAACTGTACTTGACCAGTGTATATCTGGTTTTAGTAATTTAACTTGTGTCTCCTCCTGTATATTTTGCTGCCATTGCCTTGTAAGTCCAGTGTGCACTGCTGAAATAACAGTAAAGAACTTGATCTTGTTTCAGGTCACAAGTCTCAGAGGGAGGAGCTGGACTCAATCCTCTTCATCTTTGAGGTAATTAAATCTCATTTCTACCCAAAATGGAAGTCTTGAGAAACCTGCTGGATAACCCGAATAATTGTGGAGCTTCCACAGTGGTGTCCAAAACACACTATGACAATGTATGATGAACAAAATATTTATTGCTTTACTATTAGCACGGACAGTAGCATGAGTAAGTGGCTACAGCATTTCTGTTCCATCTTATAAACATTTTGTTTATTTCACATCCTTCAAAACTGTAGATGAACTGTAGATTAATGTAGGTTATTGAGCACTGAGGATTTGAGTGGAATGTATTCTTCAGTAGGGATGGAAGCTTTACTTCTCTTTAAACTAAATGCTAGATTCAGAGGGGCTTTAGAACAGAGCTCTGACATTATTCACTGAGGTGTTTGTGATGTCTGCAGGTGGTCTCAGTACCACAACACCAGCTGAATTTGACCTCAGCCTCTTCAGACCACTGGCATTTTGCAACACTCCAAACTGACTGGTGGTGCTTAGAGTAGCCAGGATATGATATCAGCATGAGAGCATGGGTGTTACTGACATCCAGTTGCCCCTCCAAACTCCAAACAAACAAAAGAGTGCCTTGAAAGTTGTAGCTAGAGCAATAACAGGTTTTAATAGAATTACTGATCACTTAAGAATTCCTATAACTCTGCCAAGAAGTGTTTCCTTCTGTTTGTTGGTTTGATTTTTAGCAGCATTATGCAAAAACTGCTCAACCAATTTCTATTAAATTTTGAAGAGGGGTGGGGGATGACCCAAGGAAGTACCCATCCTTCCCTCATGATCTTGATGAAAAAATCTGGCATAATTAAGGGACTGGTACTTCTGAGTGTGTGCAGTTAGGTGCAGATCCAAATAAAAATCTGGATCTAGTAAATGAAAATTTGACTTCATAAGGAAACTGCCTAGGTCTAGTTAAATTAATATAATTATATAATAGTTTGTCCCAGTGAATAACAAACAAGTTTCAGAAGTTGTTATCAAGATAAATTGGCTAGTTTATACCGTGATATACAGCAAAGCTTTGGTTATGACATCCTTTCCTAATTGAAAAAACAAATATTTAAAGCGTTGCATTGTAACTCATTTCTTAATTATTATCTCATTATGCAAATCTTTTTTTACCCCCAGAAAATTCTCCAACTCCTTCCAGAGAGGATCCAGAGCCGATGGCAGTTCCACAGCATCGGTATCTCCCACAAAAACACCCTCCACCGCTTTTCATGTAGCATGCTGCAGTTTATCTAGTACATATATACAACAGATCAGAGTGCAGCAGAATACTATGCATTGTTGAATCAGGTTGAACCACTCTTGAATAACATGGCCTATCACTCGTCAGTTGATTTTCATGTGTTTCCATTTTCCTTTATCAAGACAAATGTGACGTAAGCTGCTGATTTTTTAAATGACCAAATGTCTTTCTCTCACAGGGCTGATTCTCAAAAAGCTGTTACACACGGGGAACTCTTTAAAGGTACGGCTCTGTTTTGTTGACTGTATTATCTTTCAGTGATAGTCCATGTTATTCCTCTGGCCTCCAAAGTGTCGACCTTCTACTTCTTAATCTTTTCAGTTATCAAAAGCATCATAACCTTAGACAAGGCTTGTCTGTAAACTGTCTGCACAGTGTGTTTCTCTTTAAAGTCAAAGTGTTTCACTTTGCTTATTTTGTGTTAAATGCCAACAGTGCTGGAATGCACTTTACATTTGATGTGCTTAAGGCATAGTCAAAGTGATGTGTCATATGTTTTATGTATAAGGAGAAGGGATTCGCACTAATTTGGTGGTTGTATCAGTTTGATATGTATGAAGATGAATCTGTTTTTTTGCTGTGACTGTGCTACTGAGCATGTCTTAAATTTGGAAGAAAACAATAGTAAATTCATATTAATTTGGTTTCTCCTCATGTCTCTTCTCTCGTCTTCCTCTCTCATCTACATTGTAGATCCGTCGTGAAGGAGTGCGTCTGTTCCTGCTGTGGATGCAGGCGTTACAGAGTAATGCAGAGCAGGAGCAGCTCTGCATGTTTGCCTGTTTGATTCCTGGCTTCCCAGCTCCACTCTGCCACGGGACACCACGTACCCTGGACACTCTGATCAACCCCCAGCTGACTTTGACAGAGAGTTAGTGCTACACACACACACACACATGCACGCAGTGGAGTTTAACTGATAAATGAGCTTACAAGATATATATGTTGGATAACACGAGGAGCCCCTTTTATTTTTCTACTAGCAGCGATGTTGTAATATGAACAATAAGTCCACTGCTTCTTCCCCCTCCAGCTCAGGTGACCCCGGAAGAGATCACTCCATTGGTTCCTCCTCAGTCAGGCGACAAGAACCAGGAAGACCTCACTGCTTACTTCCTAGAAGCCCTATTGAAATACATGGTAAACCAGGTATTATCATTATTTCTTACTAACACATCTAACACAATTACACTCCTGTTCTGCTGCCTCACTAATGCTAAATATAGAGGATACAACCAGTTAATGTCATTTATCTTATACAAACCTGGTGGTTGATAGATATATCATCTAATCTATGACTGGTCACTAAATTCCTCAAATAGTTTCATCCCTTATTTACAGAAACTGATGTTGTTCTGCTATTTCCCCCTGCTGCTTTCATACACAAATGCATGCAGTCATCAACACACTGATATCATTCTCCCCTGAAACAATGGTGCTCTTCTCCAATTGACCCTATTTTGTGCACGTATAACACAAGTGTGTGTGTGTGTGTGTGTGTGTGTGTGTCTGTCTGTGTGTGTCCATTAGGCCAAGTCTCTCGAGTGGCGTTGTAAAGAGAACCATGAACGTGGCTTCAGCTTCCTCTTTGGTCACTTCAGGAAGTTTTACCTTCCTCACATCTTCCCCAACTTTGCCATGGAAACCAGCCTCTACAACCCCATTATGGGTGAGTACAAGATACTGTAAATCTGCAAACTCATTGGAAAACACAGACTCAGCAGTAATGTCGTATCTCTGCAAATCCTATACCACATGAATAAAGACTTTCCTCTTTCCCTGTAGACGTGCCTCCGATGCGTCCTAAGCCTTACTACAGTGTGGTTCGCAGGGAGCAAGACGGGGGTGAGACCCTTTACTGCACCAAGGAGAGTTTCCTTCAGGCCAGAGTCATCTTCATACGCTGGCTGGTTTCCTTTTGGCTGGAGCCACGACCTAACACACAAACACACATCCCAGGAACAGAGGGAGAGAGTGTCCCCAAGAACATACAGGTAATGCACTAATATTGTGTTGTTGGGAAATACTGTGTGATTTGATAAATGAGTTCATGCTAACTACCCAGATATTCTCCTATTCATATTAAACACATTAGAAATGGCATATGAAAAAGCTGATGATAGATAAGTCGATGGAATATAAAATGTAAAAATAACTTTGTTCATCCAGTTGTTTTATTTTCTCACTGCACTGTATAACCTGCGTTACTGTTGACCACCAGCGAGCAGCAGCGGGCCTGGCAGCTCGCTCTGCAGGCAGCTCAGAAGACAGCGGCGGAGGCGTAAGCCGATCAGACAGCCACCTGGAAAGTAGCGGGGGTTCCTCTGGGCCAGGAGGAGGCAGCATGGGGCTATCTGGGGGGTCCGGGTTCGGGGCTGACCCCGAGCAGAGCCACTCCAACACATCTACCCTGACTGAGAGGGAACCCAGCTCCTCCTCGCTCTGCTCCATGGATGAGGAGCAGCTGACGGACATGGAGGTTGTGAGAAGAGTGCTGACCTGCTCCAGAACCAACGTCAACTTCATCACAGAGATCTTTAGACAGGTGAAGGGGAAATAGCAGTTTTTGACATTATATAGGTGTCAGGGTCCCTTGAACGGTGCTATAAAAATTGTTTTTATTTCAGTATGTCACACCTTTGACTTGCAATCCAATACAATGCTATGGCTGCATTTTGAGTAGCTCTAGGTAGATTTATTTCTATTTTTAGAGAAAACGTATGTGCAGTAGCCTGTGTACAGGCCACTTGGTCCTCCAACTTTTTTTTACTTTAAACTAATTAATAATCAGTTTTTTTTAGGAAATCTGATATTCTCATTATTATGTGTTTGTCTTTGCCAATATAGGCATTTCTTCTCCCCATGTGTGAAGCGGCAGCGATGCGAAAAGTGGTCCGTGTTTATCAGGAATGGATCTCCATGGAGGACAAACCAGTGTTTATGAAGGAACCAGACGAGGGACATTATCCCATTGCCACAGGTGGCAGTTTGGATTCAGGCTCTCAGCATGGGGACAAGGAAGACGAGGTGAGGAACAAGTTTTGGAAAGCAGTTTTTCCCCATTAATTATCTAGACTGTGGCAGCCCATCATTTTTGAATTTGTCCCACCACCATTTCATAATAAACCCTAAAAATCTTTACACTCAACATAATAACAGAAAAAAACATCCTAAAAAAGTGAAAACATAACCTTTTGTCGGAGGTAATAAATGATGGCCCATGGGAACAGTTATTTATGGACACGTACATATTACATTCCTTACACGTTCCTTGTTAATGCCCACTTGTTTTAAACTTCCTGCTTTAAAACTGGAATTTCAGTTTTAAATTCTGATCGGAAGCCCAGGATGAAGCTGGATGACAGTCCATGAGTAAACAGAACTGTGTGTGTGTTTGCTTTCCTTGTCAGGGAATGAACAAAGTGATTGACAGTGAATTGCTGGAGTACAGTGTTCATGCTGGAGTTCAGACTACACTACAGGTACGGTTCCAATTTGTCTTCGTGTCTCACTCAAACACAGTCTCAACGTTGCAGCATCCTCTTATTTTGTTTTTTTTTTACTTTTTGAAGAAGTGAGTTTTGACCCATTTACCATCCTAACCACTTGTCTGCTTGTCTGCAGGTGTTTATCACCCACTCCTCTAATGTTTTTCTCATCGAGCCTGCTAACGACATCAAGATCCTGTTAGAGGAGCATGTCGACATGTGCAAGCGAGTCCTGAACATCTACCGCAGCCTCGTCATGCACGAGACCATGGACAATAAAACATGGTAAAAAAAGAAAGAAAAGCTGGACATACACAATCAATGTTACTTCTTAGTGCAGACTGGGATTATTTAAGCGCAGCTCAACTTTAATTTTGGTGCATGTGTTTGTTTCATAGGGAGCAAATCTTATTGGTACTGCTGAGGGTGACAGAGTCTGTGATGAAAAGACCTCCGTCCATCATGCCTCAGGGCAAGAAGAACAACACACTGTCGGGGAGACTGGCTGGACCTATCTTTCAGGTACATTTCTATCACTATACCAAATAAGGTAAAAACTTTAAGTACTGAACACCAGGAAGGACACCGGATTTTTCTCTGCACAGTCTCTGGAAGACAGATGGGCTTGTGGTATTCTAGATGCTTAATATATGGTTGTCTACTAAACTATATGTAATAGGGTATATATTATTATCAGTTGATTGTGTAAAAGTACATGATGCATGACAGGCAACTGTCTAATCATCTAATAAAAGAGTAGTTTACTTGAATATGATTTTGGGTTTGGCTTCTCAGATATCCAGTTTCCCTCATTGCTCTTAGTCAGAATACAGAAATCTTTGTAAAAACAATTAATTGAAGTCTTGCTTATGCATGGACACACTTTAATGATTTAGTAAACTTATTTTGTGAACACTTATATGAAGTTTAATTGTCCCCAAGTATGATCCAGTCAGTGTCCAGTCCCAATTATTATTCTGTTTTTATTTGTAGAAATCTTTTCTAATAAAACGTTATATCATTTAACCCCCCCCTCTTTCTGCACAGACTCTAATAGTAGCCTGGATTAAGGGGAACTTAAACGTCTACATCAGCAGGGAATTGTGGGATGACCTGCTCTCCGTCCTGTCCTCCCTGACATGCTGGGAGGAACTGGTCACAGAGTGGTCTCTCACCATGGAAACCCTCACCAAGGTACTGCCAAACATTATATCAAGCATCCTGCGATGTGCATATGAATAACTTTGTGTGAAAAGACCAAAATCTCATATCCCAATATATGGTAATTTATTTTATATCCAGATAACTATACACATCCTTACTCCTGGCTTGTTACTCATATCTTTTCTCAACTGTAAAGGCCATGCCTTTGGAGATGCAAGTTGCAGTGACAGCTGTTCATCTCCTCCCATCCTCATGGTCCTTTGCTTTATAATGTATATCATCATTTGAAAGCCATACTAAAGAATTTAACTAGTATATCACACTACTGTGGCAAATGCCAGGGTCTGGAACTGCTTGTGGTTATAATGATACTCACAGCTGGTTTTCCAGGTTTGGGTCAGTCGGACTTTCCATTAATCAGTTTTGAAAAAAACTGCTCTCAGCCTATCTTCGTCCCAAACAGGGATACAAACTTCAGAACATGTCTCCTCAGAAAAGTATGTAAATACAGAGCAGAGGGAGTTGTTAAGCTCTGAGCTTGTTGTTTTCTCTTTGCAGCCCAACGATTTAATGCTGTAGGTTGTCAGGGAAATTAGCTGGTTCCATATTAAACAGCACCGTTACTTCTGCTTCCTTTTCTTTACTTTTCATGACCTGAAACCTCTCACCAAACTCAGCAGCATATTCGGATGTCACAGCACGCTTTTGTTCTTATTGGAAAATGCACACAGTCGTATCAAGGCGCCTTTACTAATTCTCCTTCTGAATGACATTTCAGTTTCTTAACTATCAGATTGCTCAACACAAAAGTTCCTTGCATAACATTGTCTCTGTCAGAATGTTGTGTTAAACATCCAAACTCCTCAGAAAAGTGAGAACTTTAGACATTAAAGGTTGTTTTCATCCAGTTTATCTGCATGTTTCTGTCAGCAGTGCTCCTCGAAATCCAAACTATTCTGGCTTGTCTTTTACCTAAAACAAATATAATCACTCATTTCTTTTCTTCATTCGTCAAGTACTTTCCTTTTCTTGACTGTCACCATTGATGACACATAGCAGCTACACACTTGTCAGTGGGTTGAAAGTACTGAAGGAGTGTTTATGTCTCTGTTTTGTAGGTGTTGGCCAGGAACCTGTATACTGTTGATCTCAACGAGCTGCCTCTGGACAAACTCAGTGAACAAAAACAGAAGAAACATAAAGGAAAAGGTTGGTCAGTAGCCAGAGACTCTGACAGATCCTGTGTAGACACATACAACTTCTTAAGAGCAGGTCTGAAACTCAGCCAGCTGATTCTAACATCACATTAACCAAAGCCAACAGCAACACAAACAATTACAATCATAATCCTTAGTGTAAATCTAAAGCGGAAAAAGTTAAATGTACAATGCAGGCACCCCAGCTTACTGTCAGCAATGTCACACAATTTATGACCATAAGGAAGTCTACTGAGGCCTCAGAAATGATTCAGACTCTTTCACATCTTGCACACTTCAAGGCCATTTTCCCAATGAATTTACAAGTAAACGTTTAATGTTAAGTAAAATGTTTTTTAAGAATTTTTTGCAAAATTTATATCCCAAAATCAAAAACTGATCATTTACAAGAATATTCAGACCCAAAGACTCATCTCTGGCCAAAGGCCTTACTTGTACCTCATAAATGACATGTGTGGAGACCTGAAGATGACAGTTAACAGACTTTTCCGATAAAATAGTTGTAGTTACAGAGAGAGACAGTGACACACGGACAACAAATCATTCCGTCTCTTCTTCCCTACATTTATCCTCAAGGTATCGGTTCAGAGGGCCAGCGACAGATTGTGGATCGTTCCTTTTCTAAAGGCTGGAGCAGAGACCAACCAGTTCAGGCAGCAGCAATGAGGCAGCGAAGTGCCACCACTGCTGGTTCACCGGGCATTGAAAAGGCCAGGAGTATTGTCCGCCAGAAGACTGTAGGTTAGTATTTCCCTTCTTAGACGTCCATCCTCCTGGTGTTTGTGAGGAACAGACTTATGTGAAACCTTCAGCTGTGGCCATTGAGGGACAGAAATTCAATTCAGTTGAATTCAATTTTTTTTTTTGTATAGCGCCAAATCATAATATACATTATCTCAAGGTCAGGACCTTAAAATCAAATTTAATATAGAGAAACCCAACAGTTCCCACAATGAGCAGCACTTTGTCGCCTGTGGAGATAAGAACTTCCTCATTAACAGGGAGAAACCTCTAGAACCAGACTCAATGTGGGCGGTCATCTGCCTCGACCGGTTGGGGTGAGCAGAGAAAAATGTGGAGGAGAGGAGAGATGGGTGGAAAAGAGGGGAGAGAAGAGAGAGAGATAGTGGGGAGGGGGAGAGAGAGAAAACAAAACCATTAGACTATAACTGCTGTTTTAGCTTAAAGCAAGATGAGTTACAATAAGAACGAATTTCATTTTGGAAGGGGTTTTGTATTTGTTAACTCCCAACACTACATATACCATAAACATTTACTCATTTGAAACTCTTAAAAACTCTTAAAGTTTGCCTGTTATTATTTAAGTTACTTCTTTAAATGTATGAGATTCTACTTCAATTCTCAGTGATGATGCATGGGTAATTATTCATGCAAAATGATTGTGGGCACTGTGGTGGGCTTTAAAGATAAATCAAATACATACATTCTGTCAGAAGTGTATCTATGGGGCCTAAAATGGCTTAAAATAACCACATAGTGTATTTTTATAACCCTTATTAAAATGGACCATTGCTGATAAGCTCTACTTAACATTTTATGTACCACTTCTAAAATCCTTGAGGTCTGGGACACACTGCCTGTGTTGCCTGACATGCAGAACATCCCGGTTTGTCCATGTTAACAGAAGCGGTCAGAGTGGCCTCATTTCCTGTGTGCGATACAGATGTTGAGTGCTGCTCGAGCCTCACCGCTACAGCGCATCATCTACTGTTTCGCTGCCTTGCCTTTCTGTCATGTGTGCAGCACACGGTTGTCAGTATCAACAGAAAGAGAAGAGATCTGCTGATAGTCATATTGACATCATACCAGCAATACCAGATAAAACTGACACCATTTCAATTTCCCTGGTAAAGGACAGTGGTTTTTCCTAGTGTGCACTCTCTCGTTCTCTCTTGCTCTGACCAGTGTTTTAATTATGTGAAAGCTTTCTGGTTACACTCCCCTGACCGCTCATCAACTATAGATGATTATTATTATTGATGGCCACTATCAAAGACAAGCTCAATGTATAAAGAGGACTGGTATTAACAACTCTGCAGCAGACAGGCTGGCAGTGTGGGGGACACACGCAGCAGTTCAGACACATGCAACACAGGCAGTCCATCCTGGGCGTTTGCGTGTTTTCACTGTAACTCAAGCTAACGATCATTGTTGGTGTGCACTGTGGTTCATCATTTGTCTATTTAACAAATGTATTTAAAAGTCATAGGTTTTGTTGAACTTGCAGACAACCTCATTCTCTGATTGAAGTGTCTCTGACCAGCATTGAGACAAATGTAGTGCTCCTGTGTACTGTGGTCATGAGAAGAGATATGAGCTGCCACCAGCCTCTCACCCTCTTTCTTCCATAGCTAACCCTGTCTCACTCCTTCATCACCCCCCTCGCCTCCTTCCCTCCATTTGCCCTTAAACTTTCCTCTTCTTCGCTGTCTTTGCTCCATTTTCTCCATCTATCTATCTTCATTATTTCTTGACATAATTTTTGACATTTTGTCATTCCTTTCACTTTAACATCCTCCCCATATATATGCATTATCTTTTACTTCACCTCACTTCAACACTTTGCCCTCCCTCTGCACTCCCTCCTCCTTCCTTCCTTCTGTTTCACACCATTCCCCATTTTCTTCTATTTCTCGTCTATCTCTTCTTCCCAACTTGTTAGCCCTGCGTAGCTGCTCTACGGGGGACTCTCTGCTATCCTCAGCCTTTATCCGCAGTGCTAAGAGTGCTCCTGCTCTGGCTCCGCCTCTTCCTGTCCTCCACCACCACAACCCTTTACTACCCCCCCTTGCCGACCAGCTGGCAGGTACACACTCTTTGCACTACCTGTCTCCCTGGAAACTTTATCCATCATCAGCACGTCTGTCTGATAGTGAAACTTAATGTCTGTCATCTCACCTCGGTCTGTCCATTTTTCTTGCTGTTTAATTATCATCACTAAAGGGAACGATTTGCACGTGGTCCACTAGGAATCATCAATCTGTAACTGATAATGATCATTCCCTTGAAACTCTGCAATCATCTGATCAGCATTGGCTGAAATTTTGCATGTGACAAATGGATGCTGATACCATAGTGTGTTGCTACTTCATCTCACGTTTTTTTATTTTAAAAATCGTGATGTTTTAGTGAAGAGTGGAGTTATTTATCCAAGTTGTCTCATCAGATGTTAGGTGTAAGATGTTGGTCTTTGCCATGTGAATAAAAACAAAGATTCACCTTGAAGGGAGAATATTCTGTGTCTGGAGAAAGCACTTCGTAGGTGATTTGTTATTGAGAAGGAGTAAGAAATAACCACATTGGATTATTATGAGTTGCATAGAGTGATGCGGTCTTATTATGCAACTGTTGAAAGTAGAAAATAATTAAATACTCTCATGTATGTCCTCCACAGCATACACTGTGCTTTCCATGTGTAAAGGTCCAGTGTGTAAGATTTTAGGAATTTTTGGCAGAAATTTAATATAAAATAATCGTAGTGATGTTTCACTGTTGTGTAATCATTTAAATTGTATGAATTATTTTTTCTTTACCCTACAATGGACTCTTTATATCTAAAAACATACTTACATGGTGGGGGTCCTCTCTGTGGAGGCCGCCATGTTTTTTACTGTTGTCCAAACTGGACAAACTAAAACCTTTTGAGTTTTCATGACAACTGAAGTTCACCACAGGTTGGGAAGGGGAGGGATGAGGTGAGGAGTATTAAGCTGCAACATGAAACTTCACCTCTAGATGTCACTATATTCTACACACTGAACCTTTAAGTTAATTACTGTTGTGGTTATAACATTCATTGGCACAATTGAATTTTGCATAGCCAATGCACTGAATGAAATATAGCCTCACTTTTAGCAAGAAGGTATCATCTCCTGATGTTTTGGTTTTACTCTACAAATATTAAACAAACTACAGATTGTAATAGATCGATGGAGACAAAGCGGGTTTCTATTGTTTACACGTCTGCATGAAACTAGGAACCTACCCGTGTTTGCCTGCCTGCACAAATGCATGTTCCTCTTTCTGTCATTTTATCAACTCTACATGCATGCACTCTTTTCTGCAAAACAGTTTCTGCTCACTTCTTATTGATTTCCCTTCCACCAATGTCTTGTGTGTTTTTTCATTTGATGACATTTATTCTTGGGGTGCCATTAAAATCAACCTGACAATGGCAACAATTGCAATTTATAATGGTTTCTGCAAGCATGATTTAACTTTTGTGTTTGTTGATTTTGGTGTGTGTGTGTGTAATGTGGAAGTATATTTATGATTACAGCTACAAAGTCTTTTTTTCAACTGCCAAATAGCCATGTCCCATATATGAATGTCATTAAAAGAAGACATTTAAAGGTAGTTGTAATATATAATGTGTTTTTCATGGTTGAAGTTGATGAAGTTGTAAAAAACTGTCTCAGCCATGGATGCTATTCTGTATCAGCTAAATCTAAAAGGTAACTAGGTGTTTTTAGTTTCTCCTAGTAGTTACATTCAACTTGAGAGCAGAAAGATGAAATTACTAGATCTCCATCTCAGGTTGATGTATAACCTTGTGATGTCTGAGATGACTCAACTTGAGTTGACTATGAGTTGATTAGGCACCAAATATTCATGGCTTAAGATTCAAAACAAATATTATCATTATTTTGGAGACTTTAATTGAAAGGTAAATTAAAATTGTGTGAATCATTCTATGATACACATCTTTGCCCCATTTCATAATCTTGTCACCAGTTCAGAAAGGTGTTGTCATGGTCACGTTCATCACAATAAAGTAATGACACACCTTTGGGAATTGTTTGTTTTTCTCTTTGCTTTTGTAGGTTTCTGTTTATCTATCTTTGTTGGTATCTTTGTATATTTCAACCTTTGTCTGTTCAGTATATGTGTATTTAAATGTGTTGATCCCCACTTACCCTCTACTAACCTCACTCCCCTTCCTTTGTCTTCCCCCAATTACCAGACCTCGACGACCCACCAATCACGCTCACATCCCGCGCCTCTCGGATGCGTCACTCCTCCCAGAGCGACGAGGCCCCTCCCACCTCCTGTTCTGAGGTGTTCCAGGGTGGGACATGTGACCTGGACGCCCTGGGCCCTTCATCCCTCGCAAGGAGCAGCAGTGCCTCTGACATCATGGAGCCTTTCATAGCAGAACGGGTCAAAGGTGAAGACCCTCAGAGGGATCCCACTTCAATCCCAAACCCCCACCAACAGCACCACTCAACCACTCCTTCTACACTCGCAGCCAACAGCCACACAGCTCAGCCACTTCCACACCCTCCCACCTCCCCCTCTCCCACCCCTCTTACCTTCTCCAATGGTGTTGTTTCCTCGACCTCAGAGGGACAAGATGATGGTAGTGTTTATGACCTTTTCTGGCAACAGATTGGCTCTCGAAGCCGAGGTTCTAGCTCTGATTGGGTAAGCGATTGGGATTCTGCCTTCATTTCTTCATCTGAAAAAGAAAGTTATGCAGAAGAGGGTGAAATGAGAGCCGGGGCAGAAGAGGATGATTTATTCTTCTCTATCAGGGACTACCTCACCAACAAAGGAGGTGAGAAGAAGGAGGAGGCTGGAGAGAGAGATAGTCCTGGTCACACTTTAGAGAACAGTGTTACTTTACCTACGCCAGTGCAAACCGGGGTAGCAAGAGCACAAATAGAATCCACAGCACAGGTAGGAGAGGTGAGACAGGTGGTAACAGACAACAGGCATGGAAGTAAGTCAGTGAGACACAGCAGTGTGGATTCAACAGAGGAGAGTGAGGCAGAGCAGCGGAGCATCTATGAGTGCTTGGAGCTGCAGTGTCAGTGTCCGACACCCAATGCCAGGGGAACCGCAAGCTTAGAAAGAACCACTGTGGAGAAAAAGGGAGGAGGAAATACAGGGAAGGCAGCAGGACGGGAAGGTAAATGTGACGTGTGGAGGGAAATGGAAGAAAATAAACAGGTTGTAAAAGAAGCAACAGGAAGTGAGAGGTCAATTTTAATTCAGCAAGAAATGAACACAATAGAATCGAGCATTGAATCAAACCAAACCACCCAAACTTCAGATCCAGCCAAGGTCAAGGTGCCTCGTAGTAGCACCAAGAGGCAACATTCTGGGGGTGTTCATGTCAGCTTCAGGCCCTCAACTGAGTCTGTCCAGTTCCACAACCCCCTCGAGAGTAAAGAGGCTCACTGGAAAGCCCGACTGCGTCGCCTCAGTCATTTTCACACACACAGTCACTCAGCTGGGGAGAGGCCCGGGGCTGGATCTGGGTCAGGGGGCAAGCTGGGAGCAAGCGGTTCAGGTAAGTTTGGCTCTGGGATCAGCCACAGAGCAGGAGCACACGAGAAATCGGTCTCTGGGACAGTTCCAGACGGCAGCGGGGTAGGGGGCACAGCAGGAGGCGGAGGTCTGGAAAACAGAGCCGGTAGTGGAGGGGACAAACAACATCCGGGATCCTGTGTGGGATCCAGTCTGAGCTCTGAGGTACACACAGAGGCGCCATCAGGCGTTACAGGTTCCTCGTCAGGGGTGCGTGGGCGCTTGGGACGTTCAGCCTTGCGATCTCGAGCTTCCCGCTCCCGCTCCCAGGAGCCAGGCAGCACCTCCACGCGTCACCACCAGGGAGCCCTTCTCGGTGGCGTCTATAAGACTGTGGTTCACGCTCTGTCCTCCAAACCCAGGCCCCGAGGTCAGGGGTCATCCCAAGGCTCGTCGCCACAGAGGCAGGGCCGGGCTGCCATGGGTGACGCATCGCTAAGAGACCTCTACTCCCACGTCCTTGGCTACTTTGGACGAAAGACGACCGCGCCAGGTGAGGATTGCTACGAACGAAGGGCTCGTAAAAGGACATGACAACTGTGGAGAGACGTATACTCACAAAACACAAACATCAACAACTCTCTTTTCCTTTTTGGCTGTTTTTAACTGGTTTGTTATGATGGAATGATATTTTTTTTGGGGCTGACACTCATCATCTTGCTACTGGACTGAAATTCAACTCCCTATTGATGTGTTTCACCTTGAACGTAGCCCCTCCTCCAGCCTGCCTCTTGTCAAGGACCCCCTCGTCCTCCCATACCCTCCCACCTGTTCCTCTACCTGAGGACCCCCCTCCCTCCTTCTCCTGTCTTCTTTTTTTTTTCCTAAGGGTTTTGGGAATTTAACCTCTTTTGCCCATTTCCCCCCTTCTCCACCTCCCTCTCCTCAATTTTGCATGCCGCCTCCTCGTGCCTCGTTCGCCTCCTCCCCGGACTCTGGCCTCTCTTCAGCTGTACAGAAGGAAGTGGCGCACATGGTTATACATAATATCCTGTAGAAACCCCCAAAATGGTTTATGCATTTTACTTCTTGAGAGTCTTTGCTTTGTGACATTTAGAATAAATGTTTAGATATGACAGTTGAGTTCATAAAGGTATTTTATATTAGCAAACACTTAAAAGAGATTGTTGTAGTTCATCCTCAGACCACTAGACTGCAGCATGAGACCGTATGTGAAAATGTGTCTAACATAGAATTTGAATGAATAGGAAAAGGCTCATAATGGTTATTTGCCATGTACACCACTACAGGATAATATTGCGACTGCACATTAGATTCAGCACATCAAATAACCTCTTTCTATTCATTCTAATTCTTTACGTGGAAGGCAGCAGAACTGGTGTGAAATCTATTTGTCTCGTTATGAGCACAGTTAGCGTCACATCAGCTGAATCTGTCTCTGATGTGGAAGTCACTGTTGTGCAGCCACATTTGATCTTTTCTTCATTTAGGGGTGTTGCTTCCCGACTTGCGCCAAACGTTGCCCACCAGTCATTTGTGTATTTGATTGGTTTGGCTACTTTTGGGCCAGATATTGTGTATTTGCATCTTCATGATATCTGCTTGTTTTAAAGTATGAGGGTCTCCACCCCAAGCTATGCTCAGCTGACATTACTGACTTGATCTTTCACAAGACGCTAGCTTTCCATAGATTTTAGCCTCTCGCAGACTCGAGTGAAGAGTCCTCCTATCTGCTCTGCTGCACGGTGCTGTCAGAACTGTAGCGTCGTTCCCTGCAGGGTTTCTGTTACTGTTTGTTACATTTTTGTCTCTTGGCTGGATTCTCAGCAGCTAGATAATTTGCTGGGTAGTAGAAGTAGTTTTGGGCAGTCGTCGTCAAACACACAACTGTACTGAAAGCATTAATAACAAAGATATCTCGTTGCACATTTTAGTGAACAGATCTACAAAGAAAAGCATATGAAGCTGTGATAGAGAATAAAGGCTGTGTGAGATGGAGTGGCGCAGTTAATCATGTCTGTAGGGCTATCTTGTACTCAGCACCAACACTTTCATTCTGTAGTCCCACTTTGAAATGCATAATACCTACATGCTGCAACTTCAATCAGTATATATTAGACCTTTATTCATACAACCAGTATCTGATTTGTAGGTCAGCATATGGTACTATACAGATGTCTCATTCCTGTTGCTGTTGGTGATGACATGGCAAATAATCATGACAGTAAAATAGTATACCAGGAGTCACAGCTAAATTCATGGTATTTAACATCTGGGCCGGAAGAGCTAACTGTAACATACTAATTATATGTGTCAACGTGCAGAAATGTAAAGAAGAGATTCAGCTAAGTAAACTTGAGTAAAATAGGCTTTGTTGTTTTAAGTTGTTAACTGTGTTTGCTCCTAACTTAATTTCTTTCTTGTGATCATTGCAGCAAGAGGCTGATCCTCTAATAAGCAGTTTAAACTTAAGTGATGGAAAGCTGTTGTTGCTCTGACCTTCAGGGGCTTTGTTACACATACAGTCAGGACAGACAAACTGATGTAACACTGTGCCTGCAGGGCGGTGCAGTTTGTAGGCAGCCTGTCTTGTTGTGTGGTGAGTGTTTTAAGTCTAAAATCTTGAAGGAAAAATGGGCAGCAAGGTGAATTTTTCATCTGCTAAAAAGGCAGTAGAATCCGTATTTTCGATGAATGAAATAACTAAGCTTTATTGATCAAAGTATGATATTGATCTGAGGAACCAGGCTCTGTCAACTCCATCAGCCACAGGCTTAGGAATTAAAGATTAGTTTGTTAATCCTGCGAGCACTTTCACTGCCTCCAAGCTAACAGCAACATAACTCATAGTAACAAACCTGCTGCTTGTCCTGACCTAACAGGGTGATATTCTCTCTTGCTCTATGTGCATGATGGTGTGAATTAACTCCTGCATTGCTTTTCTAGTGGCTGTCGATGTGCCTGCTGTCTTGTGGCTTTTTTTTAACATCAGTCTTTTGATAACCTCAAGGCCGACAGTGCAAACACATCAGAACTGCTCTTACTATCCAGAGAAACTCTTTATCAATTAATTTGTTTCTAGTTTGTTGTGGATATTTATGACATTTTAGAATAATTTCGTATCAAGCATCAGCAGCAGTAATAATAGCAATAATGTAGCTAATGCTACATGGATGGTGTTGGAATATTAGTTCCTGACCTATAACAAATGTCGCTATATCCCTAAATAATATAAGTACGAGCTATGTACTTTGTTAGAATTTACAAGCAAGTCATATCAGTTCACAAAATTATGGTACATATTTAATTTTTTCATGTAAGCAGTTTGAGTGGACATGAACCTGTACACACTGTCTCTATCATGTTATCACATACTATTCCTCTGTATTTGTCCCAATCTTGCCTATACGTGTGTTACCATATTGCCACCATTCTTGTGCGTGTGTTTGGGCGTGGGAGAGACGCGAGGGTGTACTTCAGTTTTTGGCTATCATAATCAACTTGCCTTAATGTCTTGGTGTGTGTGTAGCCAATAAAGAGGAGGTGGTCCAGAAAGCCCGCCCAGTCTCCAGTGATGTTGGAAGCAGCAACCCAAATTTCTCTGACCTCATGGACGAGTTCATCCAGGAGAGACTGAGGAGCAAAGGAACAGGAGTCAGTGCACCTCACTTATACACAGATTCAAGATTGTTAGACACAAATCATAGAAACTAAAAACCACTGCTTCTAATTTGACACACAGGGCCGTCGTGGCAGCAGCCCAGGAAGTTTGGAGGTCCCCAGGGACCTGCCCGAACTCCTAGAGGCTGGTCAGAGTCCTGGATCACGACCCTCGGATGATCTTCGGCCCATCGATGATCCGGGTGTTCCCTCTGAGTGGACGTCACCTGCAAGTGCCAGCGGTTCTGATGTCATCAGCTCGGACAGCCAGTCAGACTCCTTCAATGCCTTTCAGTACTCAACCTGCAAGTTTGATAGTAAGGGACAAGATAAGGATTCTGGATACATTTTTAATGTATTACCATGACTCTCTGTTGATTTTTGTCATGTTTTTACAAAATGTGTAGAGTATTTATCTGTCATAGGATATAAAATAGACGATACATTAATAGAAAAGCGGACAGTGTGTAAGATTTAGGTGAAAGGGATCTATTGGGAGAAATAGATAATCCTGGGGTATTTTTCACTTGTGTGTTTAATCTAAATTGTATGACTTGGTGTTTTTCTTACCCTAGAATGGCCCCTTTATATTTAAATACTTTATGTTTACATCTGGAGTGGCTACTCTCTGCGGAGGCCACCATGTTTTTTTTACAGTCGTCCAGACTGGACAAACTAAACACGTTTTCAGTTTCTATGACAACTGAAGGTTTCCACAGGTTCTCTTCTATGTTTGGGAGGGGAGGGTGAGGTGAGGGGTATTCAGCTGCAACATGCAACTTCACCTCTAGATGTCACTAAAGTCTACACTCCAAACCTTTAATAGTTAGGGTTATATAAATAATAAAATATCGCTGTATATACCAGTTAAATTGAATCAAAGAAAGACACATCTCTTTTTCACTTCACAGTTTAAAAGTATCAATTATGCAGCTGTTCTTTCTTTAAATGGAAGCCTTTTGTAACTCTGATTTTCCTTGATGTGGGAGCATTTAAAATGTCTAAGCCCTTGGTAGTGTCAGACTACTTCAGTCCTGAAACCCTAAAACTATTAATCATTTCTAAAATTGCAGTACCCACAATCTGTGTGGCACTGCCTCAGTGGTTAGTGTGACAGCCGGGTAGCCTTCCTACTAATTTAATTTCTTTCCTATAGATTTCCCTTTCAGCTCAGAATCTTGTGGAGGAGGAGTTGGATCTGGGGCAGGAGGCCGGGGCAGCTCACTGGACCAGGACAGTCTGGGCGGGGGTGCAGCCAGCGAAGAACATGAAGTAGCCAGTTTGACAACGCTTCACATCGACTCAGAGACCAGCAGCCTCAGCCATACTGTCACTGTTACCGGTATGTCCAATCTGTAACATGAAGACTCTCACTATATTTCTGTTGCTCTCTATTATATGCACAGACTTGCACCTTCACATTAGTGTTTTTATATCATTTAGATAGTATATTTGGAACTTGGTTATTATTATGCAAATAGAATATAATTGTAATCATATGGCAATTTGTAGGGGGATGCTATCCCCTTTTAACAAAAATAATGAACCCCCCCAGCGCTACTTGTGCAGATAGAAATAGTTGAATCCACAGTTTATATTTAACAGTCAAAATTTCAAAATGTTTGTGCACTATGATACACTTCTTTAAACTTCTGTGAACACTGTACATGAGCTGTCATTTCCTCTATATTGAATTCAATACAGCTGATCAGCTCAGAGTATCGTCACTCTGAGTTTAGTGTGTACACAGTGGAAAGATATCATTAATGGAGCTCTCATAATGTGATTCACCATGGCAACTAGTAAATAAAGAGCAGAACCTCCATTTTAATTCAGTGGAGCGAGAGAGATAATATACAACAAAAATAAAACACAGCAGCAGCAAATGAGCCTGAGTTGGAGAAAAGAGTCACTAAGTTAATACCATGATATTCGGCGTAGTCCACTAGACTACATTGTATAGCAGAGATTCATTTCTTTAATAAATAAATGCTCAAGTGCTGAAATGCTACCATTTACTAGATTCAATGTATTCAGCTGTAACCTGATGGGGACAAAGTTTGTTGAAGAGAACTTGCCAGGTTCAACTTTTTCACTAAACCGACTTCATGAAACAGGCTGTTGTTCTCTGGCTCCTTCTCGTGTTCATCCTTCGTTTCTTCTTGTCGTGTGTGCCGTGTTAATTAGGTTCTGAGAGTGCTTCTCCAATGCATTCTCTTGGAGGCTCTCGGTCCCAGACACCCTCCCCAGCTACGTTGACAGCAGAACATGCTGATCACACACACTCCCACTCTCACACACACCTGCAGCTGGACCAGAAGCTCCACAACTCTGTCCTGCAGACCCCTGATGACCTGGGTAACACATACACACACACACACACAAACATAAGTTATTTCTACACGTTTTTGTCTGCTAAAGATACAGCTGTGAGTGAACAAGAAAGAGTCATGAACTGATTGATTGATTGATTTTAGAAACCAGTGAGTTTCCCAGCGAGGACTGCAGTGTGATGGCGGGTGGTTCTCAGACTGGATGGCACGCAGATGTCGCCACTGTAATGTGGCGGAGGATGCTGGGCATCCTGGGGGACGTCAATAGCATTAAAGACCCAGAGATTCACGCTCAGGTCTTTGACTACCTGTGTGAACTGTGGCAAAACTTGGCCAAGGTAACACACACACAGACAAAACACAACCACAACTTAACACTCAAATAAAGATTGTTTTGGTATAAATGGACATTTCTCTTTACAGATAAGAGATAATTTGGGCATTTCTCTGGACAACCAATCATCTCCACCTCCTCCTGGTCTGATCCCTCCTCTGAGAATTCTCACCCCCTGGCTCTTTAAGGTACTGACTATCCCCATAGGTCCTCTCATATCAATTACAGTTAGATTGTTATGTCCAATTTTATCTAGTGACCTTGCTAGATTTTACTTAACAACAATTCGGTGCACAGGGACAGGAAGAGCTCCACGATCAAGCCAGTTAACATCTAAACTTTCTTGCCTATGCATGTTTTATCTGTTCACATTTTTGTGTGTGTGTGTTTTACCCTCAGGCCACTATGCTGACAGAGCGTTACAAGCAGGGGAAGCTTCACGCCTATAAGCTGATCTGCAGGATAATGAAAAGACGACAAGATGTTTCCCCGAACACAGACTTTCTTACACACTTTTACAACATCATGCACCAAGGGCTGCTCCACCAAGACCAGGTAGTCTAATGAAGGGTTTGGGTTAAAATTATTATCCTGAGGTTGGGTTTACTTTACTGTGAACAACAACACATTTATCACTCTTGTGCTGACATGTGATGTCACTCAAGTCAGTTGGGGTTAAAGACTACAAATTCAAAAGAGCTAGAATAAAAGTGAACTTAGTAGACCTTTGTCATCTGCTCCTCATCTCTAGTTACTTAAAGACATGTACAGAGGCCCTGACATTTTCCTGAAATTTTCCAGAGTGGCTGTATGTGGGTATGCAAATGTTCCAGTCAGTTGAAACATAGAACCCTCAGAGAGAGTCACATGTGAGGGATCCAACCTCCCAGGACAGACAGAAGTGCAAAATATGTCGTGTGGAGATGAACACATGAACAAACTTACAATATTTACAACACTGATTAAATGTACTTTTGCTTTAGTTGCTATTATTATTCGAGTGTGTAATTAAAAAACTTTATTTTCCAGGATATTGTGAACACCATTATCAAACACTGCAGTCCCAGGTTCTTCAGTATTGGTCTGCCTGGAGCCACCATGCTGATTCTGGACTTCATCATTGCAGCTTCTAGAGTTACAGCCTGCTCCTCACTCAATGTAAGACACAACTGTTCAATTTGATTTAATTTCATGTAATTATTCAGTTCAAAAATAGTATTGCACACCTTCTATTCACTATGATACACAGAAGTGTTTTTCCCTTTTTCTTATTTAATTAACATTTCTATCTTTTCTACTCTTTTCGCCCTCCCCTCTTCCTCCTCTCCAGGCTCCAAGAGTAGAGGCTCAGATCCTCCTCGGATCTCTTGTGTGTTTTCCCAACTTTTATGGGGAGCTTCCAGCCCTCCACCCCACCACAGCCGACGTGGTTCTTACCAAGTTCCCTGATGTCAAGGTCAGTGGAACCAGTTGTAGTTTGGGAAGGACGGCAGTTAGTAGGATTAGCATTACCGATACGTTTTTAACAAGAGTACATTCTTAAGAAGACAAGTTAGTTTGATCTGGGACAAGGTATCATATTTCTAAACTTTCTAAATAAATGACAGTGGAAGTGGTAAAAGAGAGGAAAAATAGAATGTATCTAATTAGCTCCCACTTAAATTAGTAGATCCTCCCTCGGAATAGTCACAGACTGACTTTAATGTTAAATTTAAAAAGACTGTGCCAATAAGCAGGAGCTTCTGCTACGGTAAATCAAAATATGTCAGTTTACAACCGAAGCACAGGCTCAGACAGTTACCTAGTTTGAGTAAAATCCAGATCAGTCCAAACCTTGTCACACATATCTGCTGTGAGTGTCCATGGGGGGTCTCAGATGCAAACTAATAGGTTAATGTCTCATCAGTCATTCTTGTTACAGCCCAGAGCTATGGGAGTAATGTTGTTATTGTTGTTGTTGTGGCTTTGTAAACAGTTAATGCCATGCGCGGCAGCACCTGAGGCCTGCCCACTGTTTTTTTTACAAAGCATCAACTTGTTTTGAATCACTAAGTGGTCATTAGCACTGACTGGACGGATGGGACCAGATGAGTGTGTGAATGTGTCTGGGGGTGTGTGGAGACACAACTGTACAGCCATTACATGTCCATATTTAGTTAGGCATGTGTGTATTATGTATATTAACATCTCATAATCTATTCTCACGAATTAAAAAAACAGTGAGTCTCTTCATTATACTAGGAGGAATTAATAACATGCAGATACAAATATACACTCGTAACCAGTCGTATGTATTGTGTATTGTTTTTTCTTAGGAGCACATTATCAAAACCATTCTGACATCTGCCAGGGACGAACCTTCTGCTCCTGCTAGGTAATGTGTGTGTGTACGTGTGTGTGTACGTGTGTGTACGTGTGTGTGTACGTGTGTGAGAGAGAGAGAACCTAAATAACAATATAATTAAAATAATAGTTTTTATAATTGCACTTTTGTATTTTAGTGCTCAATTGCATCTTATATCAAGTGAAGAAAAAACACATAAGTTGATCACTCATTACTTATATAATGTAATAATGTTAAAGCACGACATTGAATTTATTTCACTGCTTGCTCACATATTGTGAACACGACATCTCGAGAACATTGTTGGAATTTCATGCACTTGGAACAAAAGATAAGCTGATTATAATTTGGAGGTCAAAGATCAAGGTCACTGTGACCTCTTATATTACTTGATTAGAATTCAGTGATTAAGGGTCAACGGTCAACCTCATGGTTGGAGGAGGCATACAACCACAGGGCAGTACTTTGTTGTGTCTATGTGCATACGTTCACTACTCAAGCAGTGTTTACATGTGTCCAAAATGGCTGAACTCACAGAATTTGGAAGAACCATTACAATGTGTATAGCAGCAGCATGTGTTCACTGGTTGCTTCCACTCTGTTTTGTTTTGTCAGGTGTGTGGCTTTGTGCAGTCTGGGTGTCTGGCTTTGTGAAGAGCTGGCTCACGGGACTCAACATCCACAGATTAAAGATGCTCTCAACGTCCTCTGTGTTACTCTGAAGGTCTGTCACAAACTCTGTACTTCTTTAAGAAGCCGTGGTTACATGTCACTCCCAGCCTCTAAAACCCAGCTGAGCTTTAAACACAAACTAACAGTTGTTAACCCCCCCCCTTTACCCAACCATGGTTCTGTCTCTGTCCATGACTGTGATCCAGTGAAACAAGACCAAAGCAATGACTCTGAATCAAACAGGCTGTTTTCACACTGATGTGCACAACACAGTGTCTGAACATCTGTTCTTCTTCTGGCTGGGTGCGTAATTAGGCTTTCTATAGTTTAAAAAACATAATCATCATTCATAGGGCAATTCATCCAACATATAAAGCAAGTTTAGTATTCAAAATCCTACTCAGCTCTGTAATGCCCCTGGAAATGATTAGTTAAAACCAGATTTGCAGGGTTAATTAAAGATCTGTTGTTTGTTTTGTCTTTAATTGGAAATCACAGACACTAGGATTACTGGTTAAAATCTTAATGATGGTAAATTTGATTGCAACAACACACTGAATACTGAACGGTCAAATTGGAGATGTGTTAAACATGGCGGCCAGCGAGCAGCCAAAGTATGATGGAAAACATTGCTGGAGATGATTGTTAGTGTTGGTAAAATTGCCTCAGTTGGTATTGTGTGTTTCAGGCCAATAGACTGGGAGGCCTGTGGATCAGAACGATACTGTCCAACATTTACTGTCTCATCTATGTCCAAGTGGCTCTAGACGGACACAAACAAACATGCATACCTTTTCCACCTTGGAATCCCCAGCTTGTGTATCGGCAGCCAATGGCCTGCTCAGACACACACACACACACACACACACACACACACACACACACACACACACACACANCACACACACACACACACACACACACTTACATTCACTCACTCCTGGGAGCAAACCCTGCACTGTCAATATGTTTGGTCCTCCTTCAGATAGGAGACTAATCCAGGGGGAATGCTGCAAGCTGTGTTACACACACACACGCACACACACACTGTATACACACAAACACATCTTGTCCACTTTTGAATCTGTTGCCTTCATACCAGCCGCCATTAGCATCAGCCATGGGCACTGTGGCATGCACACACGATTACCAACACACACAGAAAGATGTTCAGGGATTATCATATTTTCATGCAGAGACACTTCTTTTTGTTGTCCTACTTGTCCTCTTCCATTTCATCTGGAAGCAATATTTTTGTAGAGGCTGATCCTTATTTGACTAATATGTACATTTCCTAACATAACATATACGTTTTACAGTAGTAGATGTGAAAAAAAACAACCAAAAAAACAAGGAAAGAAAGGAATTATTAGACACGTTATCTACATTATCCACAGATACTGAATTAAAGTTACAGTGTGTAGAATTTAGTGATATCTAGTGTTGAAATTGCATGTTGCAGCTGAACACCCCTCACCTCAACCTCTCCTTCCAAACATGAAAAAGACACTGTGGTAGCCTTTAACTGTCAAAAAAAACCAAAAGGTGTTTAGTTTGTTCAGTCTGGACTAATGTAAAAAACATGGCGCCCTCCATAGAGAGGGTCCCCTCTATGTAAATATAAATGTATTTAAATACAAAGGGCCTTTTCTGGGGTAAAGAAATTTACAATTCATACTATTTAGATGAAACGACTAGTGAAAACATCATGAGGATTATTCTACATTCTACAATAGATCCCTTTCACCTAAATCTTACACACTGGACCTTTAACCTGAATTATGTGTGTTTTATCTCCCAGTACCCCAACAAGAGTGTAGCACTGGTGGCGTCGGACATCCTTCACCTCCTTATCAGTTACATGGATCATCTTCAGAAATTCCCCCCCGACACTCCAAAGAAGATCGTAGAGGTGAGACATGAACGACTTACCTCAAAACAAATTATAGAATATTTGACTTGATTTCATATTAATTAAGTTCCCCTCAGAATGTCCACACTTCTTGATGGATTGAACCGTACTTTGTAAAGCTGAGTTTTAACAAACAACAACTTCTTCATTTTTCCCAGATTTTGATTGCAACCATCACATACTTGCTGCCTACTACCGAGTATTCTCCTCATGAACTTGACAAGAGGGTAACACACACATACAACATTTATTTCTCACAATATTACCTTGCTTAGAAATGTACCTGGTCTAACTATGTCTCATCACAATGCCTGTTTGTTGCAGCTGGTAGTTTCCCTGCTGTTGTGTCTGTTGGATTGGGTGATGGCTCTGTCTCCAAAGATTCTCCTTCAGCCTGTTCAAACTCCAGAAAGGGACCAGCCCACAAAGACTCTGCTCAGCTGTATTTATAAGGTGTGTGTGTGTGTGTGTGTGTGTGTGTGTGTGTGTGTGAGAGTGTGAGAAGGTAATGACTGATATTACATTATACAGTATTTTTCACTATTTATTCTCCCCTGTTATATTAATGTATGTCTCATTCATTTTTTATACTAAAAGCTCTCAAAAACATTCATTAAGGTTTTTGTATGTTTTGTATTTTATTTCATGTTATATTTAGATGTGTTTTTCATAAATGGTGTTTATATAATGCTTTCACAGAATACAGTATAAAATGAAAATGTGGTTAAATCGCTTTAAGTCAAAGGGTATTTCACACTTGAAAGTCCGGACCATGGATTATGTCTTTGTTATGTTATGTCTTTATTTACATTTGATCCAGATAATTTTGGTTTCATGTTTAAAATTAGAGAGCAGACTTAATACTTTTGTATGAATGATGTACATCCTGTTGCCATCAGCTATGTGGGCTGTGTCCACCTATACTTGACATTTATTGGTTTGCTGATGGACGGGCAACTGACATCAGTTTGTGGCCGATGCGGCAGATAGTAGTCTCGCCTTTTTAATCAAGATTATTAATGAACTGGTTTGTTTTATTAATTTCATTACCAGCGTGATATCATTATGGTATTACTAGCAGTGTCATCAACTTCAGGCCCAGTGCTCGAGACTAGTTTGAATGTGCGAAATGTACGTCCTTGTCATTCAATCGTTACATTGTCACCCTGCAAGCCGCTTCTGCTTCTTCTTTGAATGTTTAATGCTGTCTCAGCTTGGTTGGACTGAAAGTCTGAACTTTAAAAAACAGCAGTTTTTCACATTGCAAGTGAAATGAACCATGGTTCAGTTTGATCTGGTCTAGTCTAAACTGTGACGTCAGGGGGTACAGACTAACACGGTACGTGTGAAAGCGCCCCAAAATCAGCAACCAGTAACACCTTTTCTTTTTATCTGTGTCTAGGTATTGCACGGTTGTGTGTATGGAGCACAGTCTTTCAACAGTCCTAAGTATTACCCACTGCAGCTGTCAGACCTGCTGAGTGCAGATTATGACCCGTTCCTGCCGTTAGAGAGTCTCAGAGAACCAGAGCCGCTGCACAGCCCGGACTCAGAGCGATCCAGCAAACTACAGCCTGTCACTGAAGGTAATTTATATGACAACTTTAGAACGCGCCGTGACCATCACTTTGTATTCATCACTGATTTCCAAGAAGCAAGCATGTAAATATATAAATTTGGTATTATTTATTTGCTGCCTATATACAGTCCATATCTGCATGCATACACACGCAGATACAAAAACTCTGGACAAAATGAGTTGTCCACTAAACCACTGCCAATCACTGAAGATATAAGACAGTAGGTGTGTATGTATGCAAGCGCATCCGTGTGAGAGTGTGTATTGTCCCCTGCTGTGGTCGACCAGGACACAGTGTCTAATGACTGGAGCACCCTCATAGACCATGCTTCTCTTCTCTTCTCTTCTCTTGTCTTGTCTTGTCTTGTCTTGTCTCTTCTCCTTCTTAGGTTGAATATTTCTTTCTCGTTCCTTTTCCTTTCTTTTCTTTCCCTTTTCTCCTTTTGAGGTCTCCTAAGGTTTAGGAGTTATTGAAAGTGTCTGGTCAATACATATCTGGACTCTACACATAGGCTTGTCAATAAGGAGCTGTTGGAAAGTGTGTGTGTGTGTCACAGTGTGTGTGTAATGATTTTGATTAGCCAGGATCTGTTGGCAGCACAGTGTGTGATGGCATTGGCTTCTTCTCAGCATGTGGCAAACTATGTACAAGCTGCTTGTGTGTTTGTATCTTTACCTGGTGTTTCAAACCTTGAAGTTTGTGGAACTTAGAGTGGAACTATCAAGTCTTAGAAACAGTTACAACTTTTAGCTTTAGCCTGAAAATCTGAAAACATAGAAATGGACTGTAAACTTTTCATATCACGAGCTGGAAAGTATTTTTCTTAACTGTATCCTTTTCATACAATATGTCCTGTGTTTTTTTCCTCTTCTGTCTGCAGTTCGTAGCCGTATTCAGCAGGGCCTGGTTTCCATCGCAGCCAGAACAGTTATCACCCACCTAGTCAACCACCTCGGACATTATCCCATGTCCGGAGGGCCGGCTACGCTGTCCAGTCAGGTACTTTTTGACAATAAATTGAGGTTTTGAAGCTAAAAAGTAGCAGGTTTTTAAGAGCTAGCCCTGACGACATTAGTGGACGGGTCAGTTTGGGAAGAGAGGACATGACATTAGTGAAATTGTCAGTAGTCTGCCAACAAATAAAGAACACAAACACTTACAGCTTCAATTCAATTTTATTTGTGTAGCTCCCAATCACAACATGTTACATAATAGGGAAATTCACCATCTTGTCCTATATTTTAAAAGTATGCACAAATCTCAAAGCACTCTACATAGTAAGGTCGAGACCCTCCACAATTACAGTTAATCAATGTGATCCACCCTCTTTCTACTACTGCTTACTTACGCTGTGCATTGTGCAATGCCTCATTTGGTGGAAAAGGGGTTTGCATATGGTGATAGTGACTTGACTGAGGTTGTTAAAAAAAATCTTAGAACATTTTCAGTACATCAGATCTTGGCATTTTGCTGGACCTACACTGTGGGCTATGTTTTTTTAGGTGTGTGAGAACCAAGACAACCCGTTCTGTGAGAGTGCTGATCTGGGACCAGAACTTTTCCATTCACCAAATCTGCAGTTCCTGGTTCTGAATGGGTCCACACTGCTCTCTGTGCTTCAGGTAACCTCAACCGAAAGAAAGTCCTGAGATAATGTCAAGCCTTGTGTGTTCAAGTTTATACAACTTTTTGTCTACAACACAGGCCTAAGATCAAACCTAAAAGGCTGATGATAATGAAAATTACTCCTTTATTTAATGTTAGCATTGATTGGCTTTACTTGTTTCTTAATAATTCATTATAAAAATATCTCTTTTCTCGTGTCCTTTCGGCAACCATGTTATCAAGTTAGAGCGGCCACACTGACTGCATGAGCAGCATGTGTCAGGCGCCTCTCGGGCACATGAGCCGCGCTGCTCTTTGAGAATGTAGAGGTCTTGCCTATTTTCTCTTTGTACCACGCGTGGTTCACAGGAAAATAGACAGTGAAAAGGATCTTTTCACCACAGTTCCAATGTCTGTGTATTATTTTTAAACCCCTTTTTTCTGGCTCCACTATTTCTGATATTTTTATCTTGCATTGAGCCACCCAAGCATTAAGGATTCAAGTCTATGATATCCTGTGATTGGGCATTATAGGAACACAAGGTACAACAAAAACAGCATTTACTTTCTTACTTACCATTAATATGACCTGTTGATACTGAAATGTTTTTCATGAAACAATGTTTTCTGGTTGTCCTTCCGGCCATCGTCTCGTTCTTGTGTACGCAATATCTCAAAAATGCCTGCAGGGAGTTTCTTCAAATTTGGTACAAATTCACTTGGAATCCAGGATGAACTGATTAGACATAATCAGTTGTGTCTAATCGTAGTTGAAGGTCAAGGTCACTGTGACCTCACAAAGCTCATGTTCTGCTTTATGAATGTAATATCCCAGGAACATCTCAAGGGAATTATTTTGAATTTGGCACACATGTTCACTTGGACTCAAAGATAAGTGATTACATTACAGTGATCAAAGGTCACAGTGACATTATATGAATCTGATAAAAATATGTAGAAATATGTACATGGAAACTGTACTGTTTGGTGG